CAGAGGGCTAGCACAGAGGTTCTGGGGTGATACTGTGCCCCAGCGAGGAAACCAGTGTGGCTGAAGCAGAGCGAATGCACAGGCATGCAGAAAAGGAGAGGAGAGATAGCCCTTCCCCTCCCCCATACACCCATGAGCACTCGCTGGAAACGTGTTCCCCGGAACCAGCCTGGGAAACACTTGACTAGGAGGTCCCTGAGTCTGAGCTCCCACATGGGGACAAGCTCACGTGACCACTGTTATTTTTTTAAGATTTTATTTATTTATTTGAGAGGTAGAGTTACAGACAGTGAGAGGTAGAGACACAGAGAGAGGTCTTTCTTCCGTTGGTTCACTCCCCAAATGGCCGCAACAGACAGAGCTGTCCTGATCGGAATCCAGGATCCAGGAGCTTCTTCCAGGTCTCCCAAGCAGGTGCAGGGGCCCAAGGATTTGGGCCTTCTTCTACTGTTATCCCAGGTCATGGCAGAGAGCTGGTTTGGGAGAGGAGCAGCTGGGACTAGAACCAGTGCCCATATGGGACGCTGGCGCCACAGGTGGAGGATTAACCTATTGCGCCACAGCGCCAGCCGGACCACTGTTGTTTTTTAGCCATCAGGTCCTACGGCTACAGATTCCCAGGAGCCGTCTGTGCCAAATGTTCCAGTTAGAAGAACCTCTGCTGTTACTCAAGGCTACCAGACAGCCCTGTCACCGTAGTTCATGACCAGAGCCTGGGCTGGGGCGTCCCAAGGGACTTGGAGGGGCGGAGCGAGCAGGAAAGCACGTCTCTGTCACACGGAGAAGGGACAAGGGGGTACAGTTTGTGCTCCTGCACATCTGTACAAAGATCCTAAAGCCCTGCGTGTGTTTCCTGTCCTCTCCCCCAGGCTGTAAGCCCCCAGAGGAGAGGCCCTGTGTCCCTGAGCTCAGGAGGGTGCTGAGAACCTGCTGCTACCAGGAGAGGGCACGTGGAGCTTTGCTGTCATGAGACGGTCAGTATCTCACACGCGCTTCAGAAGGATGAATCCGCTGTTAGCGAGGCAGAAACGGGGCACGGAGGCTGGCTCTCAGTACAGAGCAAGGGCTGGCGCAGCTCCCAGCCCCAACCTTGCAACAGTCTCTGGCGAAGTGGATCTCTGTCGCCACCTGCAGTCCGAAGGTTGCACTGCAGCCTCCGGGCCTGGCTTCCGGAGAAGCTGTTCCTGGAATGCTTGGAGTTTGCCCCTTTTAGGGGGCAGATAGGCATTTGCTCAGTGGATAGACTCTTTGTGTTGGTAGAATCATAATAAACCCTTTTAGCAATGTATAACACAACTGGAAATATATAAATATAGTCCAAATGCCAATGCTTAGACCCAAGACATTAACTTCCGTTGGTGCTAATTACATGCATATCTGTCATTTCACTTATGAAATGGTCCTATATGGTCTAATGGCCGTCCATAAGACTTTTTTTCCAGCTTTACTTTTTTGCGCACACAGAGCACACGGATGCATGCATGCAGAGGGATGTTCATGCACACATACATGCACACGGTAGGTACATCCCACACACACACAGACACACACATACACCCTTGCCACTGCCAGGCTCCCTGGCACTACCTGATGGAGGCGTTGCCTGTTCCCTCTGACTCTGGCCTGACTAGTTCCCGGCGAGATGTGACTTGTGGGCAGGACCTGCAGTGTGCCTCTCCCAGGGACTGACATCATAATCGCTCCCGTGGCCTGGTTGTGAAGACTTTGGCTGGTCTCCAGGGAGGAGAAGGAATTTGAGAGCTGTCTTGAGGTGTGGGAGAAGAAGGTTCTTGGCCTCCCTGCACTGTGCCTAGGCGGAGCTGCTGTGAGCTCTGGCTTTGCAATGCCCAGGGCCAGAGCTCCCATCATTGCTTCTCCCGGAGTCCTGCAGAACTGAGTCCATGGCTAGTCCAGAGAGCTATCTGGAGTGTCTGCGGAGAAACAGACGTTCCTAGAAAGTGGTCATTAGGTGGGAACTGTTGTTCGCAATGACTGGTCTCCACCCGGAGTCTCCCTCCCCGCATACAGTGTGCCCCCAAAAGCAAGGACCGCATCCCCTACATCCTACGTCTTCTTCCTTCTTGTTCAGAACTGGCGTATATTAGATGTGCAGTGCTTTCCACTTATGTAGAGAATGCTTTTCAGCTGGGGGCAGAGCCTGGTGTGCCTGGCTCGGTGTGCACAGCACGCAGAATCAGCAGAAATGAGTTACCGCATGTTAAAATGATTTACTACAGGCGGCTAGGCTGAGAAAGCCCTAGAGGCTTGGGTTCTTTCCATCTTTTTTTTTTTTAAAAAAGATTTATTTTATTTGTTTGAAAGGCTGAGCTATAGAGAGAAAGGGAGAGACAGAGAGATCTTCCATCTGCTGGTTCATTCCCCAAAGGGCCAGAGCTGGGCCAGGCTGAAGCCAGGAGCCTGGAACTCCATCTGGGTCTCTCACTTGGGTGTCAGGGACCCAAGCACTTGGGCCATCTCCTGCTGCTTTTCCAGGCCTATTAGCAGGGAGCTGGATCAGAAGTGGAGCAGTTAGGACTGAAATCAATGCTCATATGGGATGCCAGCATTGCAGGTGGTGGCTTATCCCACTGCTCCACAACATGTGTTCATGTATGTGAAACAACATTCTAGTTTGAACTCCTAGATAGTGAATCAAAACCCAATTTAGAATGACAGCTCATAACCAAGGAAAATAAAACTTAAGCCTAGTCAATCAAAACCCCATAATCTCTAACTAGGAACTTTCCACTTTAACCCATCAAATATTTTCTTTGGTGGGGGGGCATTCGGAACAGAAGTTCAGTCGCTGCTTGGGACACCAGCATTGCACATCCCGGCAGAGTGCCTGGTTCAAGTCCACTTCCAATTCAGCTTCCTGCGGATGCACATCCTGGGAGGCAGCAGATCAGGTACTTGGGTCCCTCCCACCCAGGCGGGAAAGCCAGAGCTCCAGCTTCCTGGCTTCAGCCTGGCCCAACCTCGAATGTGGCCAGAGTTTGGGGAGTAAACGAGTGGATGGAAGACTTCCGTCTCTTTGCCTTTCGAGTACAATGAAAATAAACAAAATTTTAAAATACGTGTTTTCTTTGTCTTGTTTCCCAGGCAAAGATTTCCTATAGAAATCTTCCCACATCCCCCCCCCACACACACACACACCCCTGTCTCCTGAACTCATGACTCACAGCCAGCTCAAAGAAACTCTTCAAAACTTCAGTAGGTCTAAGCTTATCTTTTAGCATGTGAATGAAGGAGATTGTTGGGAAGACAAAATAGAGGTCAGGTTGACCTTGGAACCAGAGCGCAGAGGCTAAGCCCCAGGACAGTTCGGAAGAAAAGGCAGGGGCGGGGAGGAGGAAGCTCTGACCTGCCAAAGCGTTAGCAGTTCTGTGGTCCGTGCAAGATTGCTCTCAGGGGCCCACGCTTCAAATCCCCGCCCTGCTTGGAATCCTTGAGTTATTCCTCTGGGCCTCCTGAATGAAGTTTAAAGTCCCTCCAGGACACTCACAGGCAGACCCCGCCCATCTCCACATCTGCATGCAACAGCAGCAAGCCCTGGGTCCCAGCCACACCCCAGCCGGGCTGGGAGCTCTCCTCCAGCTTACCAGCTTGAGTGGCACTTTCTGCCTGGAACGCCCACCTCCGTGCTGTCTGCCTGGAAAACTTGAGCCCCAGATGCAATACCCTCTCCTTGGAGAAGCCCTGCCCAGCCACTACTATCAGCTCCACCGCTGTGCCTGCTACCGAAGCACTCCGCACATGGTTAGGTGAACGTCCAACTAGTTCATTTAAGATTTTGCACTAACTCATCACCCTCTATGTCTCAGCGATGACTTTGGTGACGCAAAACAGAATCTGCCTCCGAAAGCGGGTAAGGTGCCTGGGTCACATGCACGCTATGCGGGGCAGCTCGGGAAGGAACCGCCACGTGGCGGAGCTGTACCTCCATTGTCTTTCCTCTGGGGAACGCTGTCCCAAACCCTCCCTTCACACTGAATACAGCGAAGCCCTTGCTTTACCACGAAGGCCCCACATGGCCCAGGCCTTCTGGTCTTGCTCAGCTCTTTCTCCCTCTCGCTCTCCAGGCTTCAGCCTCAGGGCTGTCTGTTCTTATTGGAACGCACTGGCACCTGTCTCAGGGCTGATGCACTGCCTACTCCTCCGCCTGGATCCTTCCCAGTCCCAGCTGCTGCCAGCCCTTCATCCTCAGCTCAAGTATCACCTCTTCCAAAAAGTCCTGTCCTCCAAAACTGTACCCCCATCACCCTACCTAATGTTCCCATTGAACACCTGCTGCCCTCACCTTCTATCATGTAAATCGTCCTATTTGTTTTCTTGTTTGTTTATTTGCTTGTTTAGTGTTTTGGGACTCAACTATCAGTACCAAGGAAAAAGTCTGGTTTTGTTCACCAGTTTACCTCCAGCACTTGCACTGAAATAAACAGTTGTAGGATGCATTGGGTCATGGTCAGATGCACCAGGTCTGATCTTGAGCCCCAACATTTATAGTCTGGGTGCTTTTACTTCTCTTGACCCATTTTCCTCATCTGGCTGGTGGTGGTGAGAATGCCTGCCTTGTGTGGTCGTTCCGGGGATGAAGACACACTGATCTGAGGTTCCACCCCTTGCTGGGACTCGGAGCATGTTAGGTGCGTGCTGCATGGTTGTACGCAAGAAGCAGAGTACCAGCAGTCCATCCCCTCCAGGGGTCCTGATCCATGGCTTCAGCCTGGTCACAGATTCCCTGTAACTGGGGCTCGGAGGACAGGTCCCAGCTCCAATGGCACACTCTCAGCCAAGTTTGTGTCGGCTGCTCCCAGCTCAACTCAAGGGTTCCACTATGACCTTAAACTCTACATGTCCAGGAGGAGCCGTGGGCAGTCTTCCAAGAACACACCAGATGAACGCAACTTATCGCTGCGTTAAACAGTACACCCAGGCTGCCCGAGGTCCTGGAGAAATTACCCAACACTGCTGCAACAAATCACCACCAACACAGCACCTTCAAACAACCCAGGTTTATTGGTGTCTGGAGGTCAGAAGTCTGAAACTGGTTTCATGGGACTAAAAACCAAGGTTTCAGGAGAGCCATGCTGCTGGAGGCGCCGAGGAGGGCCCATCCCGCTGCCTGTTCCAGAATCCGCCCGCACCTGTTGGCGCCTGGCTCCTCTCTCCATCTTCACCATCAGCAGTGCAGCATCTTTCAATCTCCCTCTCACCCCCACCCTCCTTCCTCACCCTCCTGGGGACCCATGGTTCCATGGGGGCCACCGGGATAACCTAGGGGTCTTAATCCCACTTGTGCAGTCTCATTTGCCATAACACATTCGTGGGTCTGGGAATTCAGATGGAGACATCTTTGGGGGGGGGTGGGGAATGCACCATGAAGACCCTGAGCAGCATGGACCTCGGCACCCTGCCTCCCTACCGACTCTGCTCAAAGTAGAACTCGGTGCGGGCCGTGGGCTCGCTCTCCTTGGTGAGCTGCACTGGCTGCTCGGGCTCGGCCGGGCCACTGACGAACCAGCCAGGCCAGGCAGCAGCCTCCAGCCTGAAGGCAGAGCCCAGGCTGCTCTGGAAGAAGGTGAAGCGTGTGGCCTCTTCACCCCCCTTGTAGAGGTCCTCGATGTTCACATCCTGTGGGGGCAAGGAGGCAGCTGCGTTTTGCACATTCCCAGGCAAGGGTCTCAGTGCTGGGTGCAGGGGGAGATGGTAGAGACCTGGGGCACTTGGTTGGGCATCCACAGATGGGTGCTTGTAGGGAGCAACTCGGACTAGACTAAGTTACTGGAATTAAGACTTATTCTATGCATCTGCTCTCCCACAATATGGCGCTGGGAGAGGAGTAAACAACTTCTACACAGCTGCCTCCAGTTCGACCAGTAACCTGCAGGAGCTGATCCTGCTCCTGATTGGAGGAGAACAGCGTGCTCGGCGTGTGGGTAGCAGAGTTGGGATTGGTGGAAGAGGACTATAAAGGAGGAGAGAGACAACATGCATGAGGAACATCTAAAGGGAACATCCGGATAACATCTGAGCAGCCCCCGAGAGAGCCTGCCAGCGGTGTGCCGCTCCCCCGCGGAAGTGGGGAAAGTGGCAGGGGGAGCTGCCCTTCCACGGAGGTGGAAGGATCAGCAGCCAACCCGGGAAGAACCAGCAGCAAACCCGGGAAGGGCCGAGCAGACAAAAGAACAGCGCAGGGTCTAGTGTCGTTCCTTCGCGAAGAGGGGGAGCGACAGGTGCTCGGGTGCCAGAGCATCCTGGGGCGGGCTGGGTCTGCAGTGTCCCCCAGGACCGGGGAGTGGGGCATCTCACCTCTAGTTGTAGAGAAGGCCCAGCTTCTGTCTCCACACATGCCAGGCAGCGGCTCCCACCCTGGGTCCCCAGGAGGATGGGGACCTTGGCGCGGTCCAGGTCTCTGTTTGGAAGGATGCAGATCTTCTCTGGGGGCGCAGGGGTGGGTGGGGGAGAGAAGAGAGCCAGGTCTCACTGAGCAGAGGAATTGCACCTGGACAGACCCACTGCGGGCTACAGGGAAGCCCCGACTAAGTAGGGGGGTCGTGTCCCCTAGCTGGGAGAGGGCGCAGCGGCTTGTGGCTGGGTGCAGCCGCTGGCCCTGTGGCCGGGAGGGAAGCCGGAGAGAAGTGAGGGCCTGTGGTCAAGGGAGAGGGAACCTGTCGGAAGCTCACCCGCACTGCACTTGTCTACATCAGGATCTCCCACCAGCAGCTGGCCATCTCTTATGTACAGAACCTTCTGGTCTGTGTCTTTGATTCTGAAAGAGGACAGTGGTGCTGGTGGCTCTCCCCCACCTTCCCCCTCCTGGTCTGTCTGTCCTCAGGGTCCTTCAGGCCCCGGCTTTTCGGAGGTTGCGCTTTCTGCATTCAGCAGGCCCCAGCACCCATCAGGCAGAGCGCGGGAGCCAATGCTTCCCAATGGAGGGTAAAGCAGTTCTCAGCTTCCCCGGGACATTTCCCAGTGAGCCTTAGCCCAGATTTTCCAGGCCTGCTCCAGCGCCTCGTAGATATTTATTCTCTCTACAAAAGGTGTTAGGGAGTGAATAATTGTGATTTGCCTTGCAGATATTTTAAAGGATTCAAGGATTCTTTTTTTTTTTTTTTTTTTTTGGACAGGCAGAGTTAGTGAGAGAGAGAGAGACAGAGAGAAAGGTTTTCCTTCTGTTGGTTCACCCCCCAAATGGCTGCTATGGCTCACGCGCTGCGCTGATACGAAGCCAAGAGCCAGGTGCTTCCTCCTGGTCTCCCATGCGGGTGCAGGGCCCAAGCACTTGGGCCATCCTCCACTGCCTTCCCAGGCCACAGCAGAGAGAGCTGGACTGGAAGAGGAGCAACTGGTACAGAATCTGGCACCCCGACTGGGACTAGAACCTGGTGTGCCGGCGCCGCAGGTGGAGGATTAGCCAAGTGGGCCGTGGCACTGGCCCAAGAATTCTTATAAGAGAAAACCCACAAATTAAAAAAAAAAAAAAAAACAGCCTACATGATGCAATGTCTACCGCCCACTCTGGGCAGCACAAAGTGTACTTGGGCTGAGCCAAATACAGGAGGTTGGTGGAGACCAGAGCAGAGCTTGAGAGCGATTGTGTGGTGTGGCTGCAGCTCTCAAAGGCAGCCTGGGGGGGTGGGGCTCAGTGCATGCCGGGGAAGCTGGAGAGATACCGGGGTGAGCAGCTAGAACGTCAGGGCTGCACAGGTTGTTAGCGCCGTCGCCCAGCTGGTTTTAAAGATGTCCATCAGCTGCTCCCAGGGCCTAAGGAGCTCCTGAAAACTTTGAGGGCAGAACCCCTCTACCAACGCCACCACCTTCAAGACATCCTTCTCCCTCAATGACAGCTAAGCATCAGAACTTTTAGCTAGTGATTGTATGTGTTTACAGCAGGTTCATCTGTACAATAAAAATTAAAGTCTGAAAAGATCTGCTATTCCCCCGGAAACCTTGGCAGCCAGGACTCGACCAGAACCCCAGCTGGGTACCACATGTGACATCATCACTGGCATGTGACATCACTGGCATGTGACGTCACTGGCATGTGACATCACTGGCATGTGATGTCACTGGCACGCTTTGCCACCTCCGGCAGGCCAGGGCAGTGCTGGCCTACAGGGGGCGCTGAGCGACATGTTCCAGAAATCAATTTTTTTTTTTATATATTTCTTACATCTCATCTCATGCCTCAGAGGGCCTGTGGGAGTTTATGTCAAAAAACCACAGGCAACGAAGCACTAAACCAGAGCAAATCTCAAATAAGGAAAAATGCAGAGTTGAGTTGGAGGCCAGGCTGAGAGTAGGTGCTGCAGGGGCCACCGCGGCGATGCTGTCACCCAAATTCAGCGTCGCCCCTGAGCACTCAGAGACAACATGAGGTCTCATCTCTGGCTCTGCGGGAGGAGTTATTTAACTGCTTCAAGCCTCCGTTCCAAGATCTATCAAACGGGGTTAGTGAGGGTCCCCCCCGTGGCTTGCTAGCGGCTGGCATTTGCAGATTCTTAGGAAGGAGAGCTATCGTTAGCATGACGAGGAGGAAGCTTAACGGAGGGGTTCCGAGAACACAGTCTCAGCCTTCCTTCCCTTTTGTGGCCCCCTGATTGGGACAGTGGTGGACACACCAGGACTTACATGTAGTATCTCGCCATAGGCAGGGAACACATACTGCAGGTGTCTGGTTCTCGCTGAAGGGAGGAGAGAGAGAGAGACTGTTAGAGAATGATGCTAGGTGCAAGTGGGGACAGGCACATTGGGGCTCAACCACACCGCAGGCTGCAAAGGCCCCCTGGACCTCTCAGCTATAACTGACTGCCAGAGTCTTCCCCAACCCATCACACTCCAGGGACCCTCCCTCTGCCTCCTTCGAGCCACCTAGGAGCAGGCCAAGCTGGCAGGCGTGTGAGCCCGGGACATGTGCACTGCTGTAGCCCTAGGATTGACCCGACAGCTTAGCCAGGGCCCCTCCCAGGGCTGCACGGGGTGCGGTGTGCTCCACTGGAGGATGAGCCCAGCTCAAACCTGGTTCCACTTCCCAGCCTACCCTGGGGGTCCCCACACTCCAAACCCCCTGCCCAAGAAGGGGTGATGAGCATCCCCATGGAGTCTCCAGGGGCAGTAGGAGTGGGGAGAGTCTCAGGGAGCCTCAGCAAAGCTAAGCCATCCAAACCCCCTGTGCTCCTGCTCCAGGAGGAAACCACCTAAACTGAAGGTGCTGGCCCCATGTAAGCCCTCGACCACTCAGCTTCACACAGCCCTGCTCTTCCGGGCACCTGATCCGCCCCTAGCATGTCTACCCTTCCGAAAGGCCAACTCAGGAGCTGGCATGGGAAGGAGTCCAGAGCCAATCAGGAGTTGGACATGCCCAGAACAGTGAAGGTTCAATCGGATTCTCTCCAAGGAAGAAGGAAGAGAGGAGGAAAAATAGAAGAAAGCAGAAAACAAGAGGACGGAGGAAAGAAAGCAGGAAGGGGGGTGGGAAGAAGGAGGGGGACGGGGAAGGGTTAGAGTGGCGCCGGGGGATACATGGGGAGGCAGGTGGTGTCGAGGCCGGGACTAACCAGTACCTCGGCATTCCTGATGCCATGGCTGTGACCCAGGGGCTTTCGTCCTGGATCTGCCACCTTGTCACCTTGGACAACTCACTTTCTACCTCTGGGTCTCAAGTTGGGGGTTCAAGAGCTGACAAGAGTGAAAGCAGGAACCGAAAAAGGAAGAAACTCCATATGGATGTGGGGATGTGAATCAGTCTCACGGCTCGGCACATACCACGTGGTGGCGTGTGTTGCCCTTATTTGAAGAAAAAATAATTGGTTTCCTGAGTTTTTATTTACAAAAATGTTACCGTATTATTTTCAAAACAGTGAGGAGTTGGAAATAATCTGAATGTTCACTACCAGAAATTGGGTTCAAACATACGGCAACTTCAGTAAATAAGGAAGTAAAAGTTCATACAAGATGATATTGTGCCGGTGCTGCAGCTCAATAGGCTAATCCTCCGCCTAGCGGCGCCGGCACACCGGGTTCTAGTCCCGGTCGGGGCGCCGGATTCTTTCCCGGTTGCCCCTCTTCCAGGCCAGCTCTCTGCTGTGGCCAGGGAAGGCAGTGGAGGATGGCCCAAGTGCTTGGGCCCTGCACCCCATGGGAGACCAGGAGAAGCACCTGGCTCCTGCCATCGATCAGCGCGGTGCACCAGCTGCAGCACGCCAGCCGTGGCGGCCATTGGAGGGTGAACCAACGACAAAAGGAAGACCTTTCTCTCTGTCTCTCTCTCTCACTATCCACTCTGCCTGTCCAAAAAAAAAAAAAAAAAAAAAAAAAAGATGATATTGTAAGAGAATATTTGATGACATAAAACTTTTCATGATATATTAAGCGAGAAATACAGGTTATAAATAATCTATACATTAAATTCCACTTAAACTCACACATATGCCTGGATAGAAACACACCTTTACAAAACAAAGACTCCCAGCACTGTGACCACAGGTAGTATGGCTGACAGGATTGGAAGAGATTTTTATTATTTTTTAAAATCTCAGTATTTTTTTTCTGCTAATAGACATGAATTTCCTTTGCCATGCAAAGTAGGTTTTAATATTTTTAATGAAGTGTTCACTCAGGTCATTGGCACCCAGATGGACCTGCCCATCTAATGCACCTGGGAGATTCTTGATAAGTCTTATATGCTAGGCTGAGGTTCCCATTTGCTACCACTTGGAAAGATGCCAGTGATCAGCCAGGCCTGGGTTGGCAGGCCAGCTCAGTCCTTCTCAGTCCTTAATGAACATATAAATCTCCCGCACCTCCTGCTAAAATTCTGATTCCCTAGATCTGGTGTGGAGCCTGAGGCTCTGCATTTCAACCCACAACCAAGTGATGTTAAGGCTGCTGGTCCCTGGACCCCACATTGAATAACAAGGGATCTGAGCTGGGGTAGCCAAAGGTAGCATGGCCCCAGTGCAAGCCCATTTGTTTTTTTTGTTTTTTTTTTTTTTTTCTTTTTCTTGCAAGCCCATTTGTTGATATGCTGTCTCTTAGCCAAACCCTTGGGGCCCCTTTGGTTAGGCCGACAGATGTAAGGGCAGCTGGGTAGCTGTGGCAAAGTCCAGGTGGGGCAGACCAAGTGGAGGGTCCTGTGTGAACCTGGACAGGCAAGCTGGCGTCTCCACTCTTGATCAGTGTAAACTCAAAGAGCCAGCTGAAAATCAGCACTGGCCCAGTCCAGCTGGATCTCTTGGGCCCTAGAAGCTTCCCATCCTGGCACAGTCCCAAATCTCCATGTATTTCCTGGAGACTCCTGTATCAGGCCCCCACTGCCTAAGTTCTGCTGGGTTGTGATGGAATGAGTAGAAAAGAGAAACTACTTGCTAGTCCACCAGAAGTCCTTCCATCAGAGAAGCTGGGATCCTGGGGCTCAGCTTCTGCCATGCTCCCTCCTAATGCACACCACCCCCGCCCCCATGCCATCCCAAAGTTCTCCTTTTCCTAGTGGACTATGGCCTATGTCCCTCATTTCTTCCTCTTACTTCTCCTTGACTACAGTCTCTGGCTTTCTGAGACTTCATCAGCCCTGCATGAAACATCGCCACCAAATGGCCCCAGGGTTTTTCTCCCTGTTCTTCTGCACATTAGCTATGTGAGGTCTGCTCTTTCCAAGACCAGCTTCTGTGGAGCCAAGTCTAAAGACTGCTGTTTCCTTGGATATATGGTCACTGTCTCCTAGGAACACTTGGCATTGACTGGTTCCCTTCATACTTCTCCTCTCCTTCTAGGGTTGCCTCTAAGGTTGAAGCTCATAAAACAAAGTCCTGGGGCTGGAGCTGTGGCTCAGTGAGTTAACACCCTGGCCTGAAGTGTTGGCATCCCATATGGGCGCTGGTTCGAGATCCGGCTGCTCCACTTCCGATCCAGCTTTCT